AGGAGCCGCCTGCGATTTCGACGACATGGCATGAGCTAGCGCATCTTATGGGTTAATCGCTGAGATTAAACTACTCCATATATACATATAATATGTTTCATATATGTACTTTCCCTATGTTACAGATATGGGGTACATACACATCGGAAGCTTTCAGCATCTGCAGACTTCATTCTTCACATCAGTGCGCTCCTGCTTGGATACCTCGAGCTCAAGATGCACGATGTGAGCCTCCAGTCTTCACGAAGTCAAACGCCGCTGCAGCTGCATCGTGCTTTGGTGGATCGGCCTAAGCCCTAAATCCTACAGCTGTTTCGGCCCTCTTTGTGCAAGGCACCGAAGGCTGCCGTAGCGGAAGCCGAAGAAGGCCAAGACGATCAGGTGGCGAGATTTTGAAAAGCTTGCATGACATGTTCTGGAGGGATATGCGCCAGCTGACACTGGATTCCCCTCTATGTTTGACACATCTGCGTTTGCCCGTAGGTCCTGCCAGAAGGGTTCTTTGACGACCCAGAGCTGGATGCGAAAGTGAGGGGAATGGAGGTGGCCCTAATGCATGGCAGACTGTCGAAGCCGTGGCGTAGAGCCGTCTTCCAACGTAGACTTTAGTGTAGGCATATTCGTAGAAATACATGAACCAGTAAGATGTGAATTTATTAAAGGTGTATGCGTAACTATGAACATACGTTCACACAAGTTGATACTTGAATGGTCGAGAAATTAATGGCTGCGCGTGCGCGTGCTTATATGTGTATAGATGTGTGTGTATGTGTATATATATATATATATATATATATACATGCACTTATACATATCTTTATAGATATATACACATACGCATAGATTTGCATTCATATCTATATCTATATCTACCTATGTGTGTGTATATATATATATATGTGTGTAGATGTATACAAATGCATGTGTTTATACACATATAGAGATCCATACAGTTTACACAAGACGTTTAGCTGTAGTCATGTGTACGTGTGCATGTGGTCAAGATATACAAACATATGTATGTACATACACATGCACGCGTGTATGATTCGCAACCTTTGTGTTGTCCAGTGTTGTTCCTGCGGTCGTAAAAGTGTGTACACCTCCTGCGTAGAATGAACACTCTTGCTGTTCACTTTGTCAAAACCGATGCGATTACAGGTTTCGTCACTTGTCCTACTTCTGCTCCGTTTGTGATGATGAGCATCATCGCGGGACCCCTTGGCCGTACGGTAATTTCCGAAAAAGGGGGGCCCTAATATTGTACCCTAAATGGTAGGATTATCACAAGGACCCCAAATAAGGGACCCCCTAATTTTCGGAAGCTCCCGTATGGATCCCTACGGTGCACACCCCGGCTTGCTCGACCCTGCAGGCACCATCTCGAAAGGCTGAAAGGGAAATCGAGGAGGGCCTCCGGAGTCCCCGCCTGAGGGGTTTGGGTTTGGGATTACCTTATAGGATTCTATATATGAACCCCAAAAAGGAACTCCTTTGGGGCCTTAGGGTAGGAGCCTCATTAAGAAACCCTGGGGGCCTATAACCCCCAAAGAGTGGGATTCGTATAAGGAACCCTAATAAAGGCCCAAGGTTTCTTAATCAGGTTCCTACATTAGTTCAAGGCCAAAGGCTTTGGGCGTGAATGGCTCAGGACTTTAGAGTTTCGGGGTTTCGGTTTCAGGGCTGTGGAGTGATTTTCACTGTTGCGCTTAATGAAGGGTGCAGGGCTAAGGCTTGAGACTTCAGTTTTTATCGTTCAGGACTCAAGGTATACTTGCACTTTCCATGCTAGCGGCTAGCAGTACCGCCGGCGTGTGAACAGAGCTTTCGTGATTATGGTGTTGGGCCCGCCGTGGTGATACATATTGCTGGTAGTGCCGTACTCTTGTTGGTATTGGCAGTTGATCGGCAGTATTGTCCGCATGATCAGCGTCAGAATTAGTTTCAGTGCCACCTCAATACGCGAGAACCCCACGACCCAAAGACCTCTGCACCCGAAACCCCAAAGGCCCTAAAATCCAGAGCCTTGAGCTACCCAAAAAGGCACCACATTCAAAACCACCAGAAATCCTCTAAACCTGTCAAACCTGTTACGTCGTAATCCTATAATAAATTTTTTAAACGCTAAACCCTAGACCCAAAACCCTAAACCTATAGGACCTACACCGAGCCCTTTAAACCCAAAAAGCTGCAACGCCAAGGGTTTGAAAGGGAGATGGCCGCCGAGCAAGAGAAGGCTGAGGAAACCAGGCTCCTGGTCCGATTCTGAACTCCACAAAACTTGAACCAAGGGTAGGGGTTTGGGGGTTTAGGGGTTTATGCAAGACGTCTGCGGACCATCCAAGCGAGAAGCACGCCAAGATGCTTAACAGGGCGACATACAAGATTAATTACAAATTCAAGCATTGCGCCGTTTGCGCGCTGCTCTTGTCAACTTGGTATAAGAGTTCCAGACCATAACAGGACTACGCAGGGGAACAGGGCAATGCATTGCCTGTACTGGCGCACATATCATAGCCCGAGTGATGGTGGGGTAATCCGCACCATTAAACACCTTATGAAATAGCTCATGTGGCGGTTGCCGGATATCCCTCGGCACAATGCAACTTGAAGCCACCGGCACTGTACATGCAAAAAGTTGTAGAGTCTGACGCCGCTCGATCTTAATTTCAAGCTCAAGCCGTTTGCAGACATCTTTAAACGCATGCAAAAAAACCGTAGCTTGTTTACCAAGCGATGGCCTGCTCAGGGCCAAAGGAGGGTAATCAGCTTCGCAAACAAACGCTTGCGGCACTGAGCCCGTTTGCAAGGACAAAGGCAATCTGCCCGTACTCCATGATGCCACGTTGACTGGAGCCAGCCATCCTGTGGACACTACAAAGTCCATTTTGGGGTTTAGGGGTTTAGGGGTTTAGGGTTTGGGGTTGAGGGTTACGGGTTTACGGGCTTAGGGTTTGGGGTTAAAGGTTAGGGGTTTAGGGTTACTTGGAGGTTCATGGGTAGTTCTACGTGGGGGTTGCAGGTGGGGTAACTATTCTTGGAGGTTCATGGGTAGTTATAAGGGTTCCGTTAAGGGTCCCTTTAAAGGGATCTATATGAATTCTATAAGGGTATGGGGTTTACGGCCTACTTGGAGGTTCATGGTTCTACGTGGGGGTTGCAAGTGGGGTAACTGTACTTGGAGGTTCATGGGTAGTTCTAAGTACGGTTATAAGTAGGGTAACTATACTTACAGCTGATTGCCCATATTAAGGGACTTATAAACCCACTTATAACTACCCATGACCCTCCAAGTAGTTATAAACCATGTTAGGGGAGTTGTAACTCCACCTATAACTGCCCATGAGCCTCCAAGTAGGGGCTCAAACAATTACCAATACTATGTTAGGGTTCCTTTCTGTAAGACTCTAACAAACAACTGTACTAATCATGAAGGCCCCTATATTCGTCATACAGGGCACTCCAACAACACATAACACTGGCACAGGGATATGCCAGGCATATTCCTTTGTATAAGGCCGGGATATCCCTGTTAGATGCCAGTATCCTATGCTCATGTCCCTTCTTGGTCCCTACACTCAGGGTTCTAGATGGGTTCTATGTACGCGTAAGGTTTTCCGAGGGTAGAGGGTTTCAGGGCTTCCAGGTCCCGAGACATCCTTCTTTAAGATGAATCCTGGGAAAAGGGATACCCGGATTTGGGATTTCAAGAGGTGGCGGACCCTAAGCCCGAAACCTTATGTTCTGACACTTTGCGGGATTTTTCGGTGGATGGGCATATGGGGTTAGGTGTTGTGGCCTTCGGGGTTAGAGGTTTAGGAGACGGTAGCAGCGGGCTCCGTCTATCTCGCACGGGAGCTTCATCGTCTTTTAACAGTCAGCTTGTAGCGGTGGCAGAAGCAAGATAGAAGCCAAAAGTATGTGCCAATATCATTCCTGAGGTTTCCCGATTATAAGTATACTTTTAAGGGACCCAAAAGTACATCCAAGTTATTATGGTCCCTATATTGCAGTACCCTTATAGTTTCCTGCTTAGTAGCCTTATAGACCCCTCGAAAGGAACCCTGTTCTGATTCTTACGGCCCCTGCAGTAGCAGCAGCACTTCGAGTGGCGGATCGCCGCCCTTTGCCTTCTGGCATACTACGGGTCCCACACCCCTAAGAGTTTAGGGTTTAGGGGCCCCTAAACCCTAAACCGCAGGCACGCGATTGACGAGAAGAAGTATGAGGCCGTAGCCGCAGAGGAGGAGGAGCCAAGAATCGAATCCTCTAGTCGGGAACCGGGCATGACTAAGATTACAAAAAAATGTAATTTCTTGTTAATACTTTCACTTGCAGACTATTATTGGCATTATTGCTATTTTTCCTGTTCTTACTCTTCTTACCAGTCTTATTACTAACAAGGCACATCTTCGAAACACTCCCAGAGCTCCCCCGAGGAGTTTCAGACGCAGCTGGAGTCCCGACTGGTGAAGCTTCGCCAGGCGGCGAGCGAAAGGAAGAAAGGCGGGGAGCTTAGGGTTTAGGGTTTAGGGGGTTAGGGTTTAGGGTTTAGGGGTTTAGGGTTTAGGGTCTAGGGTTAGGGTTTTGAGATTGGCATAAGGAGTAACAATACCAAGGATAGTAGCATTCGTATTGACAATGAAGACAGGCTGGGAGCTTTGAGATTGGAATAAGGAGGAATAATACCAAGAATAGTAGCAATAGTACTGACCATTAAGCTGATAGTACCGGATAATACAACTATAAAGGCAAGAATGGTAAGGTTCACAAAAATCGCAATGAAGTGACAGTAGCAATGGTAGTAGTATCAGTAGTAATTAGTAATAATGAAGCATGATAGTAACTTCTTCTCTGCATGCCCCCGAAAATCAATTATCAAGTGATTGCCAGTCGGCTGTATGCAGTGCGCCATGAAGGTTTTGTCGGATGAGTTGCAGCATTGCTCAAGAAGAGCATGTAGCATGTTAGCGCACCCGGTGCAGCCGTAGCTGGAAGGCATGGACGGCGCAGATGCACCTGTCTCTGATGTGCTCTCCCAAGGAGATCATTCGGAGCCCCCTCATGGCAAGCATGTCTCAGAAGGTCTTCCGCCGCTTCTCGTAATCGAGGCTGGGGAGATTGAAACACGCCTGCGCAAGCATCGCGGTGGCACTACTGCTACTGCAAAGCTTTAAGTGCCCATCATGGTTCTGTATACTTAACTAGGTGTACCGGTTCGTACATGGGTGGTTGTCAAAATTAGGGTCCTTTTTTGGGTCCTTAATAAAATACGGCACCTAATATCTAGGGTACCCAAAAAGGGACCTAATTTTGACAACTACCCACGTAGTTGACACAGCTTTGCCGCTCCGAAGTTGCAATTTAGGCACGCTCTGGAGCTGACAGAGCCGGCCATCTCCCGAACAGTCCTCTTCGAGGGCAAGCTGCGGGAAGTTCGTGTGGCGGCGGAGCGCAATGCCGACAACCTGAAGCTAGGTCTCCCAACTGGGCCCTATCTTTTCCTTCTTGTGGTCTTGGGTTCCTTATATATATATATATATATATATATACTACCTAAAGCCAAAAAGGGAACCCTGATTTTTTCTAGGTTGCCGGGGATCCGAGGAAGCAGCTGCACCAGAAGCTCTCTAGCCAAGACGGATTGAAGAAGACTATCGACTCCTTCCGCTCTGAGCTTGGCGAATGGGACAGAGACCTGGGTTGTGAGTACCATACTTGAATACTTTTTTTTGGTACGTGTTCCTTAAAGGAACCATTACGAAATAGAAGTCGATATATACTTGTTTCTCTCGGTTATTTCAAAATCCAGGAGAGCGACGGGACCACGAGCACCTCCTAAACGAGAAGACCTGCCTGCAGGAAAATGAGCTGAGTGCTCTTCGCAAGATGATTCTGGGTTTTGATTTGGGGTAGTTCTTAATGTCCCTTACCTATAGTCTCCATTGTAGTTCCTTTTTGGGGTTACCTTTTAGGATCCTTACTGTAAGACTGGGTTAAACCAAAAAAAGGAACTACAATGGAGACTATAGGCATCGTTTAATCTAGAGCCCTAACTATACATAATCGTGGGGACTTTTGAAGTCGACACCTAGGATTGAGGTGCAGGCCTACTCGACGGAGGCGTGCCAGAGAGGTCTGAAAAACGTAGGGGATCTGATTGCTGCGACAAAGGACGAAGTCACCCAACTTCGCGAGTACTGCTGCGAAAGGGTCGATGTTAATAGAGACAAGATCATGAAGCTCAGAGATGAGATTGAGTCAAAGTTCGCAGCAAGTGAAAGTACACAGTTCAAGCTGCATGACGACGTCACGAACATGGCCACTGTTTTTGCCCACCTGAAGTCTGAGATGGAGCGCATTGGCTTGGTAACGGCTGAAACAATGGAGAGTGTTGCCGATCTCTGGCGTGCAAAGGCTTCGGCATCCAGTGTCGAGGAGCAGCAGCAAACATTCATCGAATTTCAGCGGAATCTGAATGATGCGGTCGCTGCACTCAGGTGCCTGCTGGGTTTTGCGATGCAAGCGATGTTGAGCAGTCGCTGCGTCTGCTTGCGGGAGAGGGCACCCCTTTGAGATCTGATAGTGTAGACATCTTGGATGGTAGTGCACACCTTGCTGTTGCAAGCTGCTTCGGACTGCGTTCAGAGAGCGGCGACTTTCCTCTGCAGGCTACGGGTCAACAGCGTGGTGGATGAAGTGAAGGACCACTTTCAGACAGCTTCTGGGTTCATGTTAAGGAGTTTAACTAGAGTGACCATAATAGGGATCTATAATGGTTCCTTTGAGGGATCTGTGAGGGTGCCTTTAAGGGTTTAGGGCTTGAGGGGTTTAACTTAAGTGACCATAATAGGGTTCTATAGCAAGTAATATGGTTCCCTTCTTGTGGCAACTTAATTAGATTTAAGTGACCATGATAGGGGTCTATAGTAAGCAATATGCTTCCCTCATTATGGTGTCTTGAAATCGATCCCTTAACGTGAACCCAGGCTGTCCGGGTGATCTCAACATCCACATCCAAGCAGATCGACACCATGCGAACAAAGTACGCTGAGGCCAGTCTCTACAGCAACCCTTCACCCCCAAGCGCCGAACCTCTAAACCTAAGCCATAAGGGTTTAGGGTTTAGGTTTAAGTAACCCCTGAACTTGTTCAAAAATCTAAACCCTAAACCCGACACTAAAGCCCTGTAGACCTTGGAAGCCCTGATTCTCGATACACTCCCTGCGCCCTGAGGACATTGGCCGCATGGACGAGGCACGGGCTTTTCTAGACCACCGCTGCGCACTTCGTGCAACTTATAAGCTGCATCGGGGTTTAGGGTTTCACGAAGCCTTTTAGGGTCTAGGTTGTGCCTGCTGTGCAAAACCCCAAGGTGATATGTAAAACTCCGACACCCCAAATCTCCAAAACCCTAAATCTGAAAACCCAAACCCTCGGTCCCCGCAAGACCCCGAAACCTCCAGATGTCCAGAAGTCCTGAGCCTCCGAGGTCATGCAGCAAAACGAGAGCCTGAACCAGATACTCCGAGGAAGCGAAGACCAAGCAAAAGCTCATCTGCAGCAGCTGCAGGAAGACTTGAACAAACAGATCCAGGAGCCATGTTAATAGAAATTCAAAAAATTTAGGTGTGAGGGCTCTCAGACTGTAGGATGTTTCATGGCTGGGGGTTCCTCAGAGAGTGGAGGCCCTTCTAGTGAGTAAGCCCACCCTAAATCAAGGCATTTCTCTTAGAGTCAAACCGACTCGGAAGCTGCTGTAGGGTTGGTTTCAGGTCCTGCGCCGAACAGTTCCGTCATTCTTACATGCTGCTCGCAGTATGAGCTACTATGGTGACCCGTCTAGCAGGACCTATAGGAAACCTTGTAGTGATCCTTCTTGTAACTCAGGCAGGAGCCTTTGCAAACGCCGAGAAAAATGCTTGCAAAATCCTGTTACAAACCCTGTAAAGACTAAACCCTAAACTAAGCCCCCAGATTAAATCCTAAACCACCTTGAACCTATCATTCCTACTTGCAGCAGAGTGCCAAGGAGCTCCAGCCTAAACACTAAACCCCTAAGGCATATAAACTATAAACCCTAAACCCCCAAACCCCTTAAACCTATTATAGTAGATGCCAGAAAGTTGGGGAACATGGCTTCAGGAGGATTAGTGGTAGGATCCCTAACACTTTACTTGAAGGGCATCAGTGTAATGATGTTCCAACTTTCTGGCTTCTACGATATTCACTTCCGGGGTGTAACACGATCAAGCCAGGGGCACAAATCACACAGCTATTTTCAGCACGTTATGTTTAGCAAAACTAGTTTCGCCGTCGAGCGGCTTGTTTAATCGGATTCGGTGCTGTGCGGCTGCCATATGCAAGCGCATGTCACGAGGTTTGCATTCGAACCGCTGCTCTGTTTTGAACACAGACTCTCCCACCCGCCTCAAACGTCTGTGTGAAGATGCGAAGATTTTCAAACTAATTCAGGCACGTCACTGGCGTGTGCCAGTTTTGTGCGACATGTTGTCTGCAGCAGCGGTCCCGAGGAGCTCCGACTTGGCCTTCAGGAGAAGGTGAAGGTGGACCCAGTGAGCGAGCAGTACGTCTTGGAGGTCTGGGAGACCCTGTACTCCTGAGAATTACTTGGAGGTTCATGGGTAGTTATAAGTGGGGATATAAGTCCCTTAATATGGGTTATGAGTATAGTTTTCCTACTTATAACCCTACCTATAACTACCCATGAACCTCCAAGTAAACTCCTCAACCCTAAACCCCTAAACTCCTATGACTATAACTCCTAAACCCTGCAGCCCTAAACCCTAAACCGTGTTGGCGGTCTGGGACAGTTTTGGTGGTTTGGGGGTTTAGGCCCTAGTTATGGAAGTGTCAAAGTTGAGCTGGTTGCAGAGGTCCAGCAGCTGCGGAGGGCTTGGAAGGACCACCAGGAAAGCTTAGCCGTTCACGATCGGGCGCGAGCGCTGGAGATTGGGCTTGTTTTGTTCAGATTTGCTTTCTGCGTGCACGTGGCTTTGGGTATACTGAGTATACTGCGAACCGTTCACCAGTTTAAGCATCGTGCTAGTGGGGTCTAGGCTCTTCATGTTTTAATGTGATATTCGGTCGGGCTGCAAGATTTCAGGGAGATCTTTTGCACAGGTGACCCAGGTGGGCTTGGTCCAGGCCAGTTAACAGTAGTTTACAGAAAGGGCTGGTGCTAGACCGAGGAGAGGGACGCAATGCATGCCATCGTGGAGAGTCAGCTCATCGCAGCACAGATGAACGTCCAAGACGATCAGGACAGGAAGAACGTTGCCCTCTTCGGCTGCAAGCCGGAGAAGGGCGATCGGGATGGTCTGCTACCCAATATCGATCAGACTCCACGGAAGAAGGAGGTCAAGACCACATCTCCCATCATCTCCCTGGATAAGCGCTGCCTTTCCTGTTGCAGCAACACTGGCACTGTCCTCGCGGGCTTCAAGATCGCCTGCTTGAATTACACACCTGGTCCTGTGGAGTACCACCAGGCGACTGCAGCTGCACTTCTAGCATCTTTTGGGACAAGAGCTGTCACAAGAAGCTCGTAATATTGGGGCCTTAGTAGTTAGAATAGGGTTTGGGGGGTATATTTTACTATACTTGTAATCACGAACCCCCAAAAAACCGATTAAAAATCTACAGCAACTAGTGTAGGTAGGAAGCTAGCAGTAATCTGCTGAATGAACATGGAAGTATATATATATATATATGGTAGAATATATCCCCCAAGCCCTATTCTGATTATGAAGGCCCCTCAAACTGTACCTTCACGGCTCAGATTCATACACCTGCCCTTTGAGGTCTCCTATTCTCGTGCAGAGCTCCTCCATTTGCAGGCAAAGCTCTTGGACCAAGCCCAAGACCGAATGCACCGAGCGGCAGGTGTGTGAAAAGACAGCCCGTTTGCAAGACCGAGACTGGGTGGTTGTCAAAATTATGGCCCCTTTTTGGGTCCTTACTATAATACTGCACCTAATATTTAGGGTGTGAAAAGAGGGCTTCGGGTTTAGTGGTTTCGGGCTTACTGTTCAGGGGTGCAGGGTTTAAGGGTCTAGTTAGGGGTTTGGGTGCAGGGGTTTTGGGTTTAGGGGTTTAGCAGGATCATCTCGGTTCTTGCAAGGTTTGCAAGACCGAGACTCTCAGGAGGTTGCACTGCAAGAGGAGATACGGACAAGCTTGCAGAAACTTCGCTGAATCCTTGCATCTACTTTCACCCCGCAGACGTCCCACCCACCTACCCGATCAGGGTCGGAATGATGACTCACACAGCTCCGTGTCTGGCTATACATGTGAAGTCTAATGTGGATAGATGTTCACATCGGTGGAAATACTTATGTTACCTGTCTTGTTTGCTTAAGCCACGTCCATATGCTCTTGCGCAGCCCGAATTGGCCCTCTGTCGAGTTGGTCCAGTGCAGCAGTCTTGGATAAATGCTCCATGTAGTTTTCACATCATGAACGTTCGTAACAGGGAAGTCAGTGATGTGAGGTGAGGTGAACGAGAGCGTAACCTTTAAACTATACAGGAACAGAAGATGATCCTTTCGCCCAGCTATGCAAAACTTTACTGAACATTGATGCCTCGTGGGGCCACATCGGGCGGTCGTGACTGATATACATATATATATATATATACATATATTCATACATATATACATAGATGTACATATATATATATAGTATAAGTAGATACAGTTAATGGGTGCATCAATAGTAAACAAATCGACAAGTAGTTGTAATGCGTGTGTATATATTTTATGCACATATATGTATATACACATGTACAGGCAAATGTATATGTGTCTGTTAACTTTGCTGCGACTCGCACACCTTCGGCAGGCTCCTCTGCAGCGTCGGCTCCGACCGAGACAGTGGCGGAGAGCGCTGAGGCGGGAGGGTTTAGAAAGTGGGGTGGAGAGCTTACTTGAAGGTTCATGAGTAGCTATAAGCAGGGCTACAAATCGGGTAACTATACTTATAACCCATATTATCGGGGACTTATAGCCCCACTTATGGCTACTCATGGACCTCCAAGTAGGGCGCAGGGTTAAGAGCTTGGGGTTTAAGCTTCAGGGTTTAGAGCTTAGGGTTCAGTGGGGCTTGGAGCTTTGTCATGAAGGCCTGGTTTAGGGTCTACGGTCTACTTAAAGGATCATGGGACTTAGTAACTAGGTTTATAAGTAAGGTAACTATACTTATAATTACTTATAGCCCCAATGAAGGTACTTATAACCTTGCTTATACTAAGTCCCATGTTGCTCCAAGTAGGAGCATATCCACTCTTCAGTCCCGAGTGTGGTGCCATGGCCTGGTTTGGGAACATGTAAACACCGGTATTCTTTGGGATAGACTCATTGAGAGCTGGTGCGTGAGAGCATAGAGGCATCTTTCACATCGAACGATGTACTGCTTATGAACCTTGCAAGCAGACCGCACAACCTTGCGTGAGTCTGGATATTTCTAGCATCATGCGCTTTTGCACTGAGCCAGCTGCTTACCTGGCAGGATGATGCCGACGATGATGAAGATGCTGACATGGACTTTGACTGGCGGGCCAAGGGTTTCGGCTAAAGCCAGAAGGGAAAAGCCGCCACTTGCTTTGCTTGGGAATCTCGAGGCTTTTCCTCCCAGGTGTCAAACTACCGTCGCGCTTCTCCAAGCCCCTACAGATGGTATCCGATCTGCGTAGAACTTGCCATGCATACAATTCCGTTGCAGTGGCGAAACTGCTTATTGGCTCCAACTATATCGGTGGAAGGCTGCATCCTAAACGTAAGGGCCTGAATAATTGCTAGTCGAATAGGGCTTTGGGTTACATTATCATAGTATAGTTAAACCAACGAACCCAAGGAATAGCGTGGGCAATTCTCCTGCCTCTACAGCTACAGTTCTTGCTTGGTATGATGCACTGGGCTTGCAACGAATACACAGAAGGACAGCCCGATCGAATGGCAGAAACAACAAGCGAGAAGTGTTTGTGTATGTATGTACGTATGTATTTATGTATGTCTGTATGTGCGTATGTGTGTAAGTATGTATGCATGCATGTATGTTTGTTTGTATGTGTATTGTTTGAACATACATATAGCTATACCTAGTGGTTGATTGGTTCGGTTGGTTTTGCTCATAGGGGTGTTCGAAGCTGTACTTACAGACACACCTTCGTTGCAAGTGCACCTCTGCATATATCTATATATGTATGCGTACATGCATACACATATATATTCTTTTTTGTTCACTAATTCATGCAAAGATGTGTGTGTGTGTGCCGTAATTGTATGTGCCGGTTTACAGCTGTTTATATGAACTGGGGAAGAGTAACGACACAGTGAAGTGTAATTGACGAAGTGCCAGTAGCTTGGACTCAAGTTGCGTCTGCCTGCCGGAGAATGACACCCGCAGCATTTGACCAAGCTATCGCAGAGCATGTTGGCACATGAGGGCAGGTACAGGAAGAATCGGCTCGAAGTGGTATTGCACACACTGCTCAGCATTCCTTAAAGGATCATGGGACTTAGTAACTAAAGTTATTAAAGTTATTATTAGGGTAACTATATAACTACTTATAACCCCAATTAAGGTACAGAGCAAGCTGATGTAAACAGGTTCCTCCTAGTCCTGCAAGGACCTCAGATGCTAGCTCTCGGCACGATCGCGCCCTGGTGATCCGTTTCGCCAAGCAGATGCCGCAACAGGTTTGGAAAAGGACCCTTGCTCTAAATCGTAAACCCTCAACCTTTTGTAGCCCTTGAAACCTCCACCCTAAATCCTTAAACCCTTGAGACCTAAACCTTAAAGCCTTAAACCTAAACCCTTAAACCATTATTGCCTTGAACCTTAAACCCTTAAATCCTAAAACCTGGACCCTTAAACCCCAGACCCAGAGCCCTGCCTCTCCTCGGCAACTGGACAGAGAGTGCTGTCCCCCTGGCGCCAGGAAGATCTCCACCAAAGAACCTGTCAACTTTGGAGGCCACATCAGTTGTAGGGGGTTCATGGGTAGTTCTAAGTAGCGTAACTATACTTACAACCCACATTAGGGGACTTATAACCCCAAGTAGGAGATATGTAGGGCTTGGGCCCTTGAGACTTTTAGGGGTTTAGGTGAGAGTTTCGGGCTTCAGGGGTTGAGGATTTTGGGTTCAGGGGATGTGATGTTCGACTGTTGAACCAGGCAACGACTCCCCGCTCCGACTGCAACTTCGCGGATGCATGCTTTGGGAGAAGTCTCCCCAAGCCCAGTCGGCTCCCCAGCATCAGCAGTGCATAAACTTATGGTACATTATCCCATAGTATCACATTGCATACTCTATATCCTGCAGAAACGTGTCATATTTGTATATGTATATGTGTACACCCGATACGATATGACAAGTCATTGTCTGACATAGTCCCTAAACACTAAACTCTAAACCCTAAACCTTAACCCCTAGACCCTAAACCCCTAAACCAAAAAAAACCTGGTGCCGGTTGCAGCGAGGTCCACGCTCTACGTGTCCTTTGCCGGTGGAAAGCCCTTGGCCTTGGCGAGAGCTTCACAAGCTAGCCCGTACTGCCAGGCACAACCAATATATACTACTAGTATAGTTACATTTCCTGTTTTACATGGTTCTTGTGACCATGACGATTCTTCTACTTTTGGTCTTATTACTGTGGTTTTCTTAAAACTAATGCTCTTCATGGTAGCTATTGCTGCAGTTTCTGTTTCTGATCGGGCCGATTTGACCTCCCTGAACCTCAAGAAGCGCAACAAATCCAAAAACCTGGTGTTGAGCCCTCAACCTCTTGAAAACATATGCATGTCGATGTACTATAGTACATACTATTCTGTTATATCATACCTTAGTGTACCATAGACCTTTAAAAACCTAAACCACCGCTTTCCGGATCCTCGACGGCTGGCCAGCTGTCGTGAGCCTGGCAGGTGCGGTTCCAGGCGGACTCTGTAGACGGCGAGGCAGGTCGCGGCAAAACAATTGCCGTTATGATGATGATGACCATGACAATGATGATGACGACGATGGTGATGGATGATGATGCTGATGCTACTGATGATGATTGTTGTTGCTGTCGTCATTAATATAAGTACTATATTGATTACTGCTATCATTAGGTCGTTGTCAACTCACCACCTCACTCGGGCATTCACGTGCATTTGCTCAGTGTAACCTTCAGGTCCTGTGAGTTCGAAAGCAGGCACCCCTAAGGCGGTGTGAACAACCCCCGATCTCAGGGGAAGAGGCCACCCCCCAACACTTCAGAGATTTGGCGTTGGGATTGGTCCCTAACCCTAATGCCCTAAACTCTGTCAGAAACTAGGACAGTGCACTTTAGCATGTTGCAGAAAATTGAGGCTTAAACTTAGACCACAGCCCGAACTGGCACTGGCCACGCAGCTTCTCGCCCACTTGGAGGTTCATGGGTAGGTATAAGTACGGTTATAAGTAGGTTAATTATACTTATACGCCATATTAGGGGACTTATAGCCCCATCTATAACTTCCCACGAACCTCCAAGCACGAGGTCTCCTTCACCTGTGATGGGGGGGACTTGCTGCTCATCGGCGTCGTCGTCCCCGACAACGGCGTGGCAACTCAGCTTTTTGCCATCAAGGGCTGCTGGGAGGTTCATGGCTAGTTATAAGTAGGGTTATAGGTAGGGTAACTATGCTTATAACCCAGATTAGGGGACTTGTAACCCCACTTATATCTACCCATGAACCTCCAAGTACAAAGGGCAGACAGCTCCAAAAGAGGCTTTGGGCCTGGGGCCTAATGGATATGAGAAAGTGCTTTGGCCAAGTTGCAGTCGCATCCAAGCTGGCATAAGGGTTATTCCCTCTGGGCCCTCACCCCTGGCGAGATCTGTGAAAGGAGACATCTTCGAGCCACCGGCGAAGAGATCCAGGCAAGTTCACAGGGTTGCACGGGAGTGCTGAGTCTTGGGTATCCCAGATTTCTGATTGCACTCATCATTTCCATCGCCCAGAACAGATCAAGGATGGATCACAGAGTTCTGTGGTTTTTGCCATGGCCTCCTGTCCTTGCTTCTCCAAATTTTGTATGGGCGCTTCATCACGTACAGTAGCGCTTTTGACGTCATCAAAAATTGGGAGTTGCATGCTCATTCTGTCCCTGAGCCCCAAGCCCGCTATATAAGTCCAAAAACCTTGAATAGAATTTCGCATCCGTAACCCCAAAGCCGTAAATCCTGCAACCTTTAGCCCCTAAATCTTGCTCCTTGCGGTCCTACTGAAAGCCTCACCCCACAAGAGTTCCAAGCCCTAGAACCCGTAGAATCTGGCTAGCTTTGAGTCCTGCTTTCGAGGACGACTGGACAAGAAAGTAAACCCGATACAGTGGCCACTTGGGGAAGTCTGAATAGAGGAAGATCCAGTCAAGCACCGAAAATGGTATTGTATTGTGCCAGTGTGCGTGTATATACGCATATGTATATGTATATGTGTATATATATATATATACAGCAATATGCACAGATGCGCTTCTTGCCATATTGTACATATACATACATACATACTTACTTACCTGCCTATGTACGTACATACATACATACATACATACATGTACATGTGTATATGTATATATATATATATATATATATACGAATACACCTGTTTTGCATGCATGCATACATACATACACACATACATGTACACATGCATATACAGATAGATACATATGGAGAGAAAAAGAGAGAGAGCGAGAGGGAGAAAGAGATAAAGATATGGGGAGAGAGAGAGAGAGAGAGAGAGACAGGCAATTTTCGGGTGGTTGTTTGAGTTGTTTGGAGGAGATATTTGACCGTGAAATTGTCCTAAGCTTCACCACCACATTGACATATTGCTATAGCCCGACGACTCTGGCCAGGGTGCAGACACCGGATGGAGGCCCGGGGTGTGTTTTCCCTTGTGAGTGTCATAGGCATTTGCTACGACAACTGTGGCACGAGCGAGGTAGCCAAGCTGTGGCACCTGCAGCGTCTCCAAAGAAGGAGGTGCGCTTGAAGCCAGCATCCGCGCAGCCTTTTACCCTGAACCCTTGACCCTGCAAAGTCAAGAGCGGAAGGCGGCGAAAGCACCGGCCCCCGGCCCGGAGAAGAAGCTTGCGGAGAAGGATGGGGCTCGACGTATTGCACGGCAGTTGCAGAGAAGATCCTGTATCAAATGTGCTTCATGAGGCCAAGCCAGCGGCTGCTAAGGCTTCTTGACTGTTTCTTACGCCTATACCTATAATCTCCATTGTCGTTCCCTGTTTTGGTTTAACCAAACACATAATTAGGATCCTATAAGGTAACCCCACAAAGGAACTACAATGGAGACTATAATCGGTAGCTTTCGAAACTTGTGGCCGTGGTTTGAGGCGGCTCCAGATCCGGCGCCCAAAACTGCGCCACAGCCGAAGGCCAATGCCCCGCCGCAGCCAGTGTCGAAAGACAAGGAGAACTCAGATAAGGCCGGAGTCTTCTTTAAATCCTACTTGGAGGTTTATGGGTGGTTATATAAATCCCTAATATGGGTTGTAAGTATAGTTACCCTACTTTTAATCCTACTTATAACTACCCATGAACCTCCAAGTAAACCCTATTCTGATTTGAAGAAGTATTGGGAGAGGGTTGGCCTTTTGCTTGCCGGTGTGGAGGCCAAAGAGATCTTGCCTTATGCTGCCAAACAAAGCAATTCCAAAGCATCCAAGGACGGTGCCTCTTGGTCTGTAGTGGCTGTGGAACTCCTGCATTACTTACTCAAAAATCATCGCCCGGCAGGAGAAGCCGGGTACCCCGGTGACACACCGAGTGCTAGCATCAGGCTCTGTCCCGCAGATCGCAAAGGCACGCAGCCAGATCGGATCGCAGACGTCGAGTGTTGGCGAGGTCTCAGGTATGAGGTGCTGAAGTCTGGTTCTGGAATTCCTGTCATGTTTGTTTGGGCTTCTCCTATAGTCTCCATTGTAGTTCCTTTTTGTGGTTTAACCAAACACATATTTAGGATCTTATAAGGTAACCCCGAAAAGGAACTACAATGGAGACTATAGCCTGTGTTGGCTGGAAGTTGCTTCGCTTCAGTGCCTTGCCAGGTCCTCAGGCAATGCCTGGGAAGGAAGTGAAAGTGCGCTACGAGGGACGTCTCGGAAGCACAGGCCCCTTTCGATCTCCCTCTGAGGAATTCAGGTGTTCTAAACTTAAACCGGTCTACCTTTTCAACGGCTAAGTGCGCTGAAGTCAGCCCTGATCCGGCAAACCCTGCAACGTTGCGTGCTGCCCTTTTGACTCTCCTCTTCCTGCCACGTCCTTGTCGAGGTGGCAGGTTCGACAAAGGCGTCATCAAGTTCCGCCTTGGTATGGGAGAAGTGATACAGGGCTGGGACCAAGGGGTGAAGGCCGGTCTTCATGTCAAGCGCCCGCTATAAACCCGAAACCCTAAACCCTATAAACCCCATAAACCCTAAACCCCAAACCCCTATAAACCCTAAACCCTAAACCCTGCAGCACTGTCTTTTGTCAGGGCATGCTCCGAGGAGAGAAGCGGAGGCTCTTGGTGCGCCCACAGCTGTTGGACTTGAACCCAGTGGCTGCAGAGCAGAGTATGCTTGGTCTGGGAGGTACCTTCAAAACTTGGAGCTTCTGGCATGTTGCTTCTAGCATCTTGAAGATGCCGTTAATGTGCTTCCTTGTGCTGTTCGGCTTTGAGCATCCTGAGCCACATCCTAAAACATTGATATGGTCTGAGCCTGACGTAGTATACCACAGCAACTGATAGTATTTCTTGTGTTATACTACAGTATTCTAGAGTTCTAGAGTACATTAATGTATTTTACTACCTTCGTAGTATATTCTAGTACATGGTTTAGGGTTTAGGGTTTAGTTTTTAGGGTTTAGGGTGTTTAAGTATTAAAGTATGAAGAAGGAATCTTCCGCTCTTGCCTTGGCCAGGCTACGGTCGGAGTGGGGCTCCGCCGGAGTCCTCAGCGCTCGTTTTCGGCTTGCGCGGACTCCCTCTCCTCCGAGACTCCAAGACCCCTTAACGAAGGAATACCTAGGGATCCTTTAAGGGATCTACAGGGTCCTAAACATGACTTAAAGGTATATTCCCGAACGAAGGGATATTGGAGTCTCCCTCTCCTGTGGAATGACGCTAAACCCCCAAAGCCCCAAAACCCGAAAGCCCTGAAGCCGGAGGCCCTTAAACCCTAAGGCCCTAAACCCTAAACTCTGATGGTTAGCTCCGTGGTTATAGCCAAGGCCAGCGATCCCTCCGAATGCTGATCTGGTGTTTGAGGTTGAGCTGCTGTGAGAGCAGATGATCTTTGCGCTTTACATCGCTTTAGCTACTTGGAGGTTCATGGGTATACTTGTAACCTAGATTAGGGGACTTATAACCCCACTTAGAACTACCCATGAACCTCCAAGTATCTCCAAAATGTTCAGAAGGCTTGTCGCGTGCGAAGGACCGCATGCGCAGCTTTCATGCACTCGGGACGTTTCAGCCTGGGGAAGGGGTGGGCTGAATTCTCGACAAAGTACATGTTGGAAGGCATGTCAAAAATTGACCAGTGCTGAAACCAGACCGGGTCCAAGTCAGCCCACCCTTGACCTGTAAGAACTGTACCTCCCATAGCAACTTGATTGATCGCCTTTGCAAGTTCGAAATGGTGTTTGCTTGCTGTTTGTGACTCGCAGTCCCACGTAAGTGGGCCCATGAATTTCATTGATCGCAACGGCTTGTTTCTGTGATTTTATGCTTCTTCCGCCGCAGTTTTGAGCCGGTTCGATGGGCAGTTTGAAAGCCCTGTTTACGTGCAAGGCTCCAGTTGCAAGGTTAGCATATTTCCATCTTGAGTGTGAACACAGTGAAACCATTGGCATATGTGCAGTGTGTCAAAACGCTTCCCGGTGCCGACATACAGAAGTTTCCTTCGCAGCGCCACCAAATCCCTTGCTTGCGATACTCGGGATGATCGAGGCCAGAAGGAATGGCTGTAGAGCATTAACTCTTTCAGGCATACCATACATGCCTGATGTTCATTGCAGGTGATCTGCAATGACCGTATTGGGCGAAAGATCCGAGTGAAGTGCAATCCTGATGACACCATCGCGGACCTCAAAAAGCTTATCGCGGCACAGCCGCCGGCTGAAAACTTCTTTGGACAATCAAGTGTAGACATCTGACTGATACCAGACGTAAGGTGTGGGACCCGATGGGAAAAGATTCGAATACAGAAGTGGTACAACACGTACAAGGCCAGAAGCTTTGCAAAGACTCTGCCTAGCTTGCTCGATGGTCATTGGATGGTATCGAGTGCAGGACCACATCACGCTCGAGGACTATGAGATCAAAGACGGTATGGGTGGCTTACTTGCATCTTGATGGGACGGGTTTGCGGCCAGAATGTCCAATCTGAGGCTTGGAGCTCTACTACAATTAGATGCGTGTCTTCCGCCGCGGATTTCAAGTCAATCCGTGATACGTCCCAGCGGTCTTTCGAACCCTATTGCAAAAGGGTTTGCTCGAGGACTATAGGAGTTCATATCTTTCAGAAAGCAACAAATAGTCGCAATTTAGGCAGAGGTGGGTCGAACCTAACCAACTATCAGCATAAAAGATCTACTTTTCATAGGCTCCGAAATTTTTAAGATATGATACAATACCAATGAATTTATTGGAAGTCTTTATACTGAATATCACAGCTCTATCGCATGATCTATACAGATAACTTGATACGGGTTTTTCAGCCAAATCTTTTGGACATATCTTATTGTATCAAAGTGAAAACCCACATGAGCATGTCTGTGGATAGTGATGAACGAGTAGATGAGGCCTCTAGAGCCTTCCAAAGGAGTGTGCATGGCGTTGTGAGTGCAGTGCACGTGTTGTGTGTTGTGTTGTCCGTGGTGTTGGGTGGGCTGTGTGTTGTGTGCTGTGTGCTGTGTGCTTTGTGTTGCGTGTTGTGTGTTGTGCGTGTGTGTCGGTGTTGTGTGTTGTGTGTGTTGCGTGTGTTGCGTGTGTTGCGTGTGTGTTGTGTGTGTGTGTGTGTGTTGCGTGTGTGTTGTGTGTGTGTGTGTGTTTGTGTATGTGTTGTGTGCGTGTTGTGTGTGTGTGTGTGTGTGTGTTGTGTGTGTGTGTCTTGTGTGTTGTGTGAGTATTGCGTGTGTTGCGTCGTGTGCGTTGTGTGCGTTAATTATGTAGGTTGTGTGTGTGTGTGTTGTGCTTGTGTGTGTGTTGTTTGTTTGCGTGTGTTGTTTGTTTGTGTGTGTTGTGTGTGTGTGTGTTGAGCGTTGTGTGCGTTGTGTGCGCTGTGCCTGGTGTGCGTTGTGTGCATTGTGTGGATTGTGTGTGTGCGTGTGTTGTGTATGCTGTGTGTTTGTGTTGTGTGTTGTGTGTGTGTGTGTTATGTGCGGTGCACGCGCGTGTGGGTGTGGGTGCCTGTGTGCGTGCATGTGCGTATAAGTGTTTATATGTGCGTGTTTTGTGTGTTGCGTAGATTGTGGATATGTCGTTTAGAACGTATATATGGTAGAAGAGGGGATTATAAAATAAGATATGGTAGATTGATAAGAGAGGGAGAGTAGAAAAAGGGGGAGGATATCGAATGATTTTCGTCAATACTACTTATTAGTCGGAAGTCTTACTCTTATATAGAAATTAAAAAGGCCATAGAATTTAATTCTTCCCCGAAATTGCGCCGGATAGACTTGAGGAATTAAAGATGAACCCAAAAAACATTCGGGTGGTATATCTCTATCTTATTAGGTTTCTGAAAAAGGGGATTCTGGGATATTCTAACTTTATATTTTTCTTTTGATTTTTTCTGGGTCTCTATGCAAAGACTTCGAACAAAATTAAAGATATCTAGGAAAATGATAATTATTAGAATATTGATATTAATGATTAATAGTGATGGGGAAGGTCGGGACGAAATTTATATAATTAATAATTTGGTAATAATTAATCTTATTTTCGTATTTCTCGATCTATCTTTCTTCTCTATCTTGAGCCAGCTTATAAAATAAAATGATTGAAGGGACGGATTTGAGATTTGTGAATCTTTTTGAAAATGTTCTTTATAGATTTTTATCATTTCCGGGGAAGAGGTTCTAGAATCAAGTATTGTTGATATTTTGAAATTTCTGGTAAGGGGGACTAGAAATTGTTCGTCGTATATCGTCGAATTTTCTGGAGCTCATATAAATTAATAGATATAATTTTCATGAATGGGAGGCGATCGAAAATACGCATTGGGGAGGTCTAAAGCGTTTGGAATATGTTCTTAGTCACGTGAGCGTGCGAGTATATTATTATATATTTTGTATATCGTAATATATTCTATCGTTGTTGGGATATCTAATCTGACGATAGCAAACCTATAATCTTTTCAAAAAATATTAGAAACGAAGGAATCTGAAATACGTATCGTATTTCGTAGAATTTTTCTGAATTTAATTTTTAGTCGCGTTTAGAGGGCGGTATTTTAATTTCTATACCTGATTTCGTTGATCTTTCTAGAACTAGTTTGTGCCGGATATTTCTATAAAGGATATTATCGATTCTTTCGATATCTTCGGAATTTCGGATTGGGATGATAAATAATAATTAATATATTTATTTGGATTCGTGAGTGATATATTATCTTTATTTGGTAGCTGGTATAATTCGAATTCATATTTCGAATTATGAAAATTGAAAAATTGATTCCGAATGCCAAAATCTCGCTATATAATAGAATTAATTTTAAATCGATTGAGTTCTTTTTCATTCTATTTCGGATTTAGGAATTGAATATTTCGAATTCTATTCGGATTCGGGAATTATTATACATATATTCTTTATAAGTCATGAATAAAGGAATATTAATGATATATTATATATATATGAATTTCTTCTATTATCATCAATTACGAGCGCAGCGTCGCCGTGAAATCTGATTGACTTTAATAATTCTTATGAAATTCAATATCTTTAATAAACTAGAATAAATTAGAAAATTGTCTTCAATTCTTTTATTATATAGAAATTATTATCAAAATTCTTCAGAAATTATCGAATAATATAAGCATATTAAATTCCAAAATTATATTATCATGATCCGAATCTATAATCTTTATGGTCTGGTCCCCAAGATCTCATATATTTTTCTTAAGGATTTGGATAATACATCCTATATCCCTATATCTCGAAATCTGAAAATATTATATCTTGATAAAATCGGGTTCTCAAATTCTCTTTCACTTGATATTTTTTCATAACCTATAATCTATCAGGGATTCTCTCCAATCTAATTTTAAATCCGAGTCCCAAATCCTATCTCGTAAATCGAAAATTTATATATAATATCATAATAGATCATAGTAATTTTCAAAATTATGAATAATCATTCTAAAAATTCAATTGATTTCTCAAAATCTTCTAATTATTGAGATTCCCATATTACGAGCGAAATATAATCTCTCTTTTTCAATTGGTCTTAAGATTTCTATATCTATATCAGTCGGATATCTCTATATAAGGAGGGATATATAATCTATATTCGATTTCTTTTTAATCAGAAAGGATCTTGGCTAGAAGATCTGGCAGATGATATAAAGATTTTATTGATTCTAAAATATTGCCAATAATATATAGAAAAAATTTATGAATAATATTATAATCTTGAAAAATAAATAGAATTATCTTTAATTATAAGTATATCTCGTTATTAGAAGCAATGGATCTATGGAATTTTTGAAGAAAATATGAAAAAATCCAATATTTTTCGATATCGGGTACGATTTTGATTTTAAATTTGATAAGATTGAGAAAAACGATTAGGATTGAGGAATGATATCCCGAAAAAAACGAAAGAGAGAGATATATATATATATATATATATATTATTATTATTTATGCTTCCGATAATTAAGTTTATCATCATAAAATATTTCGGGGAGTGTATTAAGAAGAGAAGATAGTATCGTATAATCTGAATATATGAAATATATCTTATTTTTAGTCGGGAGGGAAGATATAATTCGTCGTTATTTTAATCTGAGCGAACGAAATATTCTTTTATGATCCATAATTAAAATAATATATTTGGCGATATATAGAAGAAGGAATATCTGAAAGTTGAAAATACGAAATATTTCTTATTTCGCGATCGGGAATAGATAATATCATTTCTATAATTTCAATATTGATTTTAGCCAGCAATCCGATATTTTCGAGATCCATTGAATTCGAAGAAGGCTCCGAGGAAGTAAAATTACTGTGTCACAAAATTTGAATGCCCCGTGAAATAGTCTTATAATATATTTCTCTTCTATTCTCTTTCTCATTTATATTGACGTAATTTTCAGGAAGAGCATTTTCAACAAAGAGAGATCTAGAATTTATTAATAATATCAGATATTCTGCAATATGCTAGAATAGTTATATATATTATTATTTTCCTAATCTTTTCTTTCTTTTTTGTATTCTGCTGGAAAGAAATTATTAAGACTTATTAGAAATTATGATAATTATAGATAAATAATAATATATAAATGAATTGAATGATTTTCTCGATTTATATATTGAATAAGACTAATTGAGAAGATATCATGAGATCAAGATAGATATGAAAAGAATCTCTGCAATTCTGATTTCTTGAATTCAATAGGCTATCGAATTCGCCCATAAATCTTCTCCTATATTGAGATCGCTCCCTACAAATCTTCAATTATAAAAAGATATTATGATTAATTATATATAGATCGGAATCTATAATCGGCGTCGTCTAGACGCATAGGTCTATATCGTCGTGATTTGGAAGAAATCTTCTATTCTATCTCTCTTCTTGAGATTTCCCTTGATATGATAGGAAGACTGTAGATATTGGATATATCAAGAGATCTCCGAAATTTAGGTTTCTTTCATAAAATCATTAATATGAATATCTTTTTCGATTTCATGTTTAGATTTAACTAAATCAATTGAATATTTTTCAGATTATTGGAGTCTATGATTATTAAAAAATATTTATATTATAATAATGAAGAAATATATAAAGAAGTTCACGTATAAGATTACGTAAATATTGATTTTTTTAAAATATGATCTAGAGGATTCTACGAGGTACGTAATATTTTAGATCCCTGCCCGGAAATTTTCTAAACGTCTTATGAATTTCTAAATCTATAAGATTCTGCGGGATACGATATATATTTTAGCATCCTCTCTTCGGAATATTGGGGCGATGCGTTGAATGGATAGCACCCCCCTCCGGATAAAATAAATTTGATTTGATTGATATGAATCGATAATCCCGGACAGGGGGCAAAGATCTGAGTGGCAGGGAATTGGGAGGTGCCGGTTTGGGGGCTGGCATGGTGCAGGGTCTGCGGTTCTGCGTAAATGCGCGATCGGGAGGTCTGGGGATCCCCAAATGCTGGAAATCAAGTCCCGATCCCTCCAAGATAATTACCAAAATTAGAAAATCTTTTATTTTGAATATTTTTTGCCTCCTCCTTATATTCCCACCCACAATCGACCACGTTTGAAGCATGGTGCGGGACAATAATGGTATAGTAGTACAATAGTAGTTCAATAGTAGTACAGTAGAAATTAGTATAGTAGTCAGTAGTAGTAAAGTAGTAGTTCAACAATAGAATAATAAGGGTGTCGGTTTTATGGACGGTCCCCCCCCCCTCCCCCCGACCAAAAAAAATCACTTTAGAATGGAGTCGGTAACCCCGGACAGGGGTCAGGGGTCTGAGTGGCAGGCAATTGGGAGGTGCCGGGGTTTGGGGGCTGGCTTGGGTGCAGGGTCTGCGGTTCTGCGCGAATGCACGGTCTCGGGTCAGGGGGTCTGGGGATCACCAAATATTGGAAACCAAATCCCGATCACTCCAAGATTACTATCAAGACTAAAAACCCTTCATTTTGAATACTTTTACCTCCGTAACCTACACTCCCACGCTCCCATCCACAATCGACCACGTCTGAAGCTTGGTGCGGTACAATAATAGTACAATAGTACAGTAGAAATGATATAGTAGTAGTACAATTATAGTTCAATAATAGTGCAGTAGTATAATAGGAATATAATAGTAGTACAATGGTAGTACAATAGTAGTACAGTAGTAGTTCAATAATAGTGTAGTAGTGCAATAGTAGCACAATAGTAGTTCAGTAGTAGTACAGTAGTACGATTATAGTTCCGTAGTACAATAGTAGTATAGTAGTAGTAGAATAATAGTGCAGTAGTATAATAGTAATACAACAGTAGTATAGTAGTAGTATAATAATCGTATAGTAGTAGTACGATAATAGTATAATAGTTATAATAGTAGTTCAGTAATAGTGCAGTAGTAGTATAATAGTTTTCAGTAATTGATTGTAGTAGTACAACAGTAGTACAGTAATAATACAGTAATACTATAGAAATAATTCCAATAAGCAAAGCATAAAGCTAGTGAGCCCATTCCCCCAATAAGCAAAACATAAAACCAGCGCCTGAAACCCTATATAAATCCTAAATCCTAAATCCTAACAAACCCTAAACCCTAACGAATCCTAAACTCCTAAACCCTAACAAACCCTAAACCCTAAGCCCTAAACCCTTCCCAAAGCCCTAAACCCTTCCCAAAGGGGGGTCGGTCTAGATTCGACCCAAAAATGAATTTTTGATACAAATTTTAGTACTGGAGAGGCCTCTGTCGAACAAGGGTCCAATTCCCAATTCGGCGGTTCACCCTAGCAGCCCCCCCCCAATAAGTAAAACATACAGTAGCAGTACAATAGTACAGTAGTAGTACAATAATAGTACAGATTCTCATTCCTGACGTCCCAATAAGCGAAATAATTCTGCAAGAGATTTTCGGGCTTCAGGGCCATGGTTTTAGGGTTGGGGGGGTTTAGCTCGTGGCTGCCCTAAGATTGACCATCGGCAAACAGCATAGCCCCGCCACCAAAATATCTCCCCAGCCAGAAAAAACGCATTAATTAGTACCCCCAAATTTTTGATCAGATTCGGAATTAACCCCCGAACCGACGCATTAAAGGGGCCTATATTCCAAAACCGGCACCCACATTAATAATAGTACAGTAGTATAATAGTAGCACAGTAGTAGTAATAGTAGTAGTAGTACAGCAGTAGTACGATAATAGTTCCGTAGTGCAAAAGTAAAACAGTAGTAGTATAGAAGTAGTTCAATAATAGTGCAGTAGTATAATAATAGTATAATAATAATAAAATAGTAGTATAGTAATAGTAAAATAGTAGTATTGTAGTAATTCAGTAGTATAGTAGTAGTATAGTAAGAATATAGTAATTCAGTAGTTGTTCAATAGCAATAGAAAAATATATCAATAATATAGTGCAATAGTATAATAGTAATTCAATAGTAGTGCAATAGCAGTTCAGTTATAGAACTATAATAGTATAGTAGTAGTTAGTTCAACAGTAATATAGAAGTAGTTCAGTAGTGGCAAAGTAGTAGTATAGTAGTAATAAAAGAATAGCTCAGTAATAGTAGTGATATAATAATATAGTAGTAATACAATAGTAGTTCAATTATAGAGTTGTAGTACAGTAATAAATCCATAATAATATAGTAGTCGTTCAATAGTAGTATACCAGTATTGTAGTAATAGTATAGAAGTAATCTCAATAAGCAAAGCGTAAAGATAATGAGCGCATTCCCCCGATAAACAATACATAAAGCCAGCAATTGAAACCCTAAATCTGAATAATTATTAAATCCTGATCCCTAACAAGCATTTTCGAATTCCAAGACCAAGATTTTGGAATTTAGGTAGGAGTTTAAATCATAACTACCTTAGAATTGATGAATTGATAATCAGCAGACAACGTATCCCCATCCCCAAAAAAATTGTCTTCCTAGCAAAAATAAACGTCTTAATTAAGACGCCCAAATTTTTAGTCCCGATTTCAATTCGCCCCGGAGAAAATATATTAAATAGGTCCATATTTCTAAATTTACCACCATATTATCATAATTATGAAGATATATTTTATAAAAATCATTCAAACTAAAATCTATTATATATCTGAAATAAATGAAATAAAGATACGAAAATCGATAAGTCCTAATTTATCGCCATATTTTAAACCTTCCATATAGACGATAGAAAAAATAGATTCAATATAAAAAAGAAAGAGAGAGATAGAAAGATTTATAGACCTTATTAAAATGACTTTCTTACAGATCCGAATGTACTATTATCATAATAGAAACGAAAGACTACCGATATAAAATTTCGTAATATAGCGTATACGAATCAAATACGACCGATTAGAATACGAATCCAAATTTGAATCGGATCCGATCCAAATACGCGCCCAATTAAATTCGAACCCAACCGCGAAGCAAATACAAACCCGGACACGAACCCAAATACGAATCAGACACGAAACGGTCACGAACCAGAATCGCACCAGACACGAACCCAAACACTAACCAGACACGAACCGGACACGAACCGGACACGAACCAACCACAAACCCGGACACGAACCCGGTCGCGAACCCGGCAACTAGCCCAGATAAGAATCCAAATACGAATCGGACACGAACCCAAACACGAACCGCGAACCCGGACACGAATCAGACCGGAACCAGACACGAACCGGACAGGAAGCCAACAAGAACAGCGATTGAACTAGTTGGCAACTTCCAGGCGATATCTCTATATTCCCATGCGGAAATCATATTGAATTTGATAGGTATATCGTCGCGGAGGCGGTAGCGATCTCGGAGTGTCTTTAAAAATTCAAGTCTGTGAATAAAAAGAAATGTCGGTAAATGATGTCCAACGCCTGCGAGTTTGGCAAAGTCAGGAAAAAAACAAAAAAAGCAAAAGATTTCAGAAAGGAAAAAAAAAAAAAAAAAAAAAAAAAAAAAAAAAAAAAAAAAAAAAAAAAAAAAACAAAAAAAAAAAACAAACAAAAAAAAAAAAAAAAAAAAAAAAAAAAAAAAAAAAAAAAAAAAAAAAAAAAAAAAAAAAAAAAAAAAAAAAAAAAAAAAAAAAAAAAATAAAAAGAAAAAAAAAAAAAAAAAAAAAAAAAAAAAAAAAAAAAAAAAAAAAAAAGAAAAAAAAAAAAAAAAAAAAAAAAAAAAAAAAAAATAAAAAAAAAAAAGATAAAAAAAAAAAAAAAAAAAAAAAAAAAAAAAAAAAAAAAAAAAAAAAAAAATAAAAAAAAAAAAAAAAAAAAAAAAAAAAAAAAAAATAAAAAAAAAAAAGAGAAAAAAAAGAAAAAAAAAAAAAAAAAAAAAAAAAAAAAAAAAAAAAAAAAAAAAAAAAAAAAAAAAAAAAAAAAAAAAAAAAAAAGAAAAAAAAAAAAAACACGAAAAAAAAAAAAA